GGGGAGTTGTGGGAGCCGCCGGGGGCGCCCGAGGAGGGCAGCTGCGGCGGGGAGGGGCAGTGGTCCGAAAAGGGGTTTGTGGGAGGGGAGAAGCGTTCAGGTGGGAAGGAGCCGCTTGGTTACAGTTGTGGGGAGATACAGGTGTTAACTTCGGTGGGAGCCCAAGAGGCGGCTGGCGAGAACAGAGCCCCTCCCGGCCCGGGATACCACTGTCACGGCACACTGCAAAGCAGAGCGGTTTGCTGCTATTCTTGTGCACTTGTAACGGTGATTTGGTTGTTACTAAAAATGAGAACGAATAGTGACTGTGACCACTGAGGAAGAACCCCCCTCCTTTTTATTTTTTTTAATTTTTTAAAACTGTGCAACAGATCAGTGATTCCCAGTAAGCACTTAAACTCTGAGGGTCAGGGTTATCCTTGTCATTGAACACACCCGTCTTTCTGAGGGGGTTCAGACCAGAGAAAAAGTCTGAGAGCATCTCTGAAAGGTACTTTGGTTACCTTGCGCACAGAAATAGCTGCGTAAATAAAAACCGAATGCGCAGGCGACTGAGTTTCCCTCCTTGCTTTAGGCAGTCAGTCTCCCCCTGAAAGTTTCGTGTGCCCTGGGGATGGGAGCATTTCCTAATCTTTGTGTTGGCAGCAACACACTCAATTCCCATAGGATTTAGAGGTATCAGGCCTTGATGTAGCAAAGCAAAACAAAACGAAAAATTAGAGAGGCTGGTTTGTTTTTTTTGCAAGAGATATTTTCTGAGCTGTATTCAGGATTTTGTTGCTGTGACAAGGAATGTATAAAAGACATAAGAGTTATAGCCTGGTTAAGAAACGGCAGTTAACTAGAATTGAAGTTTTGAAATGCTGTCTCATTTGTGTGCATTAATCATTTTGTTATAATGTGCCTGATAAAAACATCTGAAGGAGGGTGTTTTAATGATTACAGAATATTTGAATTTCACATTAGTCAGAGTGAAGGAATGGAAATGTATTGAGGCATAATCTTATTTTGGGGGTGACTGAATTTGAGAATCAAAGTAATTTTAGATTTTAGGTGAACTCCCAGGAAGGGGTGAACTTTAGCTGAATCCCACTCAGTATCCTGATGACTGTTTGTTATTTTTTTTTATTTTTAGTTTTTTTAGTTTCTCAGATAATAACAAGGAAGTTGGAACTTGTATAACTGTGGTCCTTTTTAACTCTGATTCTGTGATTTCCCATCAGGAAAACAAGTAATTGCCACTTTGCTGTCAAATCTACCAAACTGAACACCAAGTAAGATCTACTCTTGTGAGCAGATGAGGGTTCTGCTAGATGGTGCTATTTGATTTAAATATGTTTCTTCCATTCATTTCAGTTGGCAGCAGGAATTCTTGACTGGTTTGCCTTATGAACTAAATATAGGTGAAGAGGCCGCTTTTGGAGAATTGACAATGACTGTTCTGGGTTAATTGTCGTTGCATTAATTTCTAGGTGAATGTTGTTTGAATCTAAGACAAACATCGATGTAGGTTCTGTCTTATAGAATAAACTTAATTTCATTTTGGTGGGAGAGTTGATCTAATCTCTTGGTTTTTCTCTTTATGTTTACTTGGACTTTAATGGCACTATTCTGCAACAGTGTACTAACATCTGAAGGTAGGAATCTTGAAGTCATTAAAATGGATGTCACCAGATTTTTGTTCTTAATTTTTAAGGTAACAGATTTTAAAAGGTGAAGAATTCACCTTTAGTAAGCAAATTAGAACTGTTCTTATCTTGAAAATCACAGAAATAATTTTTTTCCGTAACAAATACGCATTTTAACAAAAACATTCTGCAAAAGGAGTCATTATTATAAATAATGGCATGCTTAGGAAATAAGCACATTGGTTTTATAATCTATCAAGCAATGTGTTTTCTAACATGAGTTCACAGTGAATAGTTGACAAGTGCTTACCTGTATTAGATCTTTGTTTTGTCTTTCATTAGGAAGTCACTATATGAAATACTTGAAGTGAATTCTTGGTTTGACATAATTCCTATAATTTCAGTATACAGTTCTGAACATAAAAATGACCAGGGTAAGATGAGTTACTTACTCTGTCATTTTAAGAAAAGCAGATCCCCAAGTCTTAATTATAGAGGGAGTGATTGAAAACCGTTGGAGGGAGGTGGGATGTAGAAATTGTAATTCTGCTCTTGTTAGGTCATTTCTTCCTTTAGCAGGCTTTATAACACTAATCGCAGTTGTAATTAAATAACTATGGTTGGCTGTTAATGTCTAACTTTCCCTAAAATATAAGTTTCTTGAAGGTAGGAGATGATCTAATTTCTTATCTGAGGTTTCTTGAACATTAAGGTGCCTTCTAATATCAAAAGCATCAATAATTGTTATTGAAGATGTTAGACTCAAAGGAATTTTTTCAGTGACCTCCAAAATAAAGACTTGTAAGTTTGAGTTTCACATTCTCTAGCTTAGTTGTATTTCAGAAATACCCCTAAACAACAACACAACAAAAATAACTATTATATATATGCCATCCTGTGTGCCAGTCACTATGTTCAGTGTTTTATGTACATATTTTTTCTAATTCTCCCAACAAATCTACAGGACAGGTGCTTTTATTTTTTCTCCATTAAAGAAATATGAAAACGAAGGCCCTAAATGGTTAAAGAACTCACCGAGGGATACCATGCTAGAAAATAGGAAAGCTGGGTTTCTAACACAGATTTCTCTAACTTTAGAACCTGTGGTTGAAGCTGAAAGATACATTTTTCAGTGTACCAGATTGTCTTCCTGAACTAGGGTAGGATGCTACAGATTTAGGGAATAGCATTACATAATCAGATGTAACAGACTTTAAAGATTTGATCAAATATGCAATCTTAACCACTGGTGCACCCTGATGCTTTGCAGATACGTGTATGGTGTGGGAGAAGGCACAAATTTTAGGAGTGAAAGTTGGAAGCCTAACATAATGAAGAAAACTTGTTTCTTCAGATTCTCCCCCCCAGGAATTTGGTTTGATTACTTGTTTTAAAGTTAAACATAATAGTTGTGAATAATTCCTATATGAAATGTTGCTAAACTTAAAGCCACCCAGTATGCCACACTGCAGAAAGAGTAACTGGCACCTGCAAATAGATGAGTAGTGATACTAATTTTTTTATTAAACTAATTTGATTCTTTATGTAATAGCACAGAAAGATGAATCTGCTAGAAAGCAAAGTTGGACATAGAAGATACACATAGTATGCGTCGACTTTTATTTAGTAAACTAGCCAGAAACTACAAGAATCAAACTATCTAATCTTGAGCTCTGAAAAGTAACTTCAGCTTTTAAATTTTCAATCTTATTTGAATATACGAAGAAGCAAATACCATATGCTTATTTCAAAGTAGTTATAGTGTAATGAACATTTAAATGCCACTTCATATAAAAGAGTTTATAGGGATTAATATCTGCCAGCATCACCTTGTTCTCCCCTTCTACCATTAAAGTAATTAAAGCATTCCCCCATCATTAAGGTACTCACTGCAAAGAAAAATGACAAACCTTTCTTCCTTTCTGAAGGAATAAGGCGAGAAAAGTAATAGAGATCTTTTCAGAAACTTATTTGACAGCAACTGGCTCAATTCAGGATTTCCAAAACTAATGAAGGAGTATCTTATGGAAATGAAATTTTGTATAAAATATTAAATTGCCCCTCCCCCTTTCAGTCTCCAGGATGTTCCCCCAAAATACAAGTTGTTTAACTTGTATCCGAAATGTCATGTTAGCTTTTGATTGATCTTTCTCTGTTATTTTAGAAGTATCCAAAAAAACCCCCTATTTTTAAGGAAGGTATCTAAAGAA